TCCCCTCCTCCCTCTTACCCCTCACGTTCCCTCCAAGCCCTGCCCCCTTCTAAACCCATCCCCCCCCTCCTCCCTCTTACCCCTCACGTTACCTCCAAGCCCCGCCCCCTTCTAAACCCATCCCCCCTCCCCTCCTCCCTCTTACCCCCAAGCCACGCCCCCTTCTAAACCCAACCCCCCCCCCCCCCCCCCCCCCCCCCCCCCCCCCCCCCCCCCCCCCCCCCCCCGCCCCTCCCCCCCCCCCCCCCCCCCCCCCCCCCCCCCCCCCCCCCCCCTGGCTCCGAAGCAGCGGCGGCGGCGGCGGCGGCGTCTTCGGCGGCTCCATCCACAGCGCCTTCACCTGAGGAGGAGGGAGCGAGCCCCCCTCCCCTTCCCTCCCCGAGCCACTTCCGGTCCCTCTGCCAGGAGACAGGCGCGGGGAGGCGAGCGCCGAGAGGCTCGAGTGGACACAGCGCGCGCCCGGGGCATCCTTCCGTCAAAGGGGCCCCTTCTAAAACAAAATTCCAACTCCCCTCCTACTCGTACCCCTCAGTTTACCTCCAAGCCCCGCCCCTTCTAAACCCATCCCCATCCTCCTCCTTACCCCTCATTACCTCCAAGCCACGCCCCCTTCTAAACCCACCCCCCTCCCCTCCTCCCTCTTACCCCTCACGTTACCTCCAAGCCCTGCCCGCTTCTAAACCCATCCTCCCTCCCCTCCTCCCTCTTACCCCTCACATTACCTCCAAGCCCCGCCCCCTTCTAAACCCATCCCCTCCTCCCTCCTCACGTTACCTCCAAGCCACGCCCCCTTCTAAACAGACCCCCTCACTCCTCCCTCTATACCACGTTACTCAAGCCACGCCCTTCTAAAAAAACCATCCCCCATCTCTCCTCTCTCTTACCCCTAAGTACTCCAGCCCTGCAACCTTCTAAAACCCATCCCCCCCTCCCCTCCCTCACTGTTCCTCCAATCTTCTAAACCCATCCCCCTCCCTCCTCCCTCCCCCCCTCACGTTACCTCCAAGCACGCCCCCTTCTAAACCCATCCCCCCTCCCCTCCTCACCTTACCCCCAAGCCACGCCCCTTCTAAACCCATCCCCCCTCCCCTCCTCCCACCTTACCCCCAAGCCACGCCCCTTCTAAACCCATCCCCCCTCCCCTCCTCCCCTTCCCTCCCTCTTCCCCAAGCCCCGCCCCCTTCTAAACCCATCCCCCCTCCCCTCCTCCCCTTACCCCCAAGCCACGCCCCTTCTAAACCCATCCCCCCTCCTCCCTCCTCACTTACCTCCAAGCCACGCCCCTTCTAAACCCTCCCCCCTCCCCCCCCTCCTCACGTTACCTCCAAGCCACGCCCCCTTCTAACCCCATCCCCCCTCCCCTCCTCCCTCCTCACCTTACCCCCAAGCCACGCCCCTTCTAAACCCATCCCCCCTCCCCTCCTCCCACCTTACCCCCAAGCCACGCCCCCTTCAAACCCCACCCCCCTCCCCTCCTCCCTCTTACCCTTCTCACCTTACCTCCAAGCCACGCCCCCTTCTAAACCCATCCCCTCCTCCCTCTTACCCTTCTCACCTTACCTCCAAGCCACGCCCCCTTCTAAACCCACCCCCCTCCCCTCCTCCCTCTTACCCTTCTCACCTTACCTCCAAGCCACGCCCCCTTCTAAACCCATCCCCCTCCCCTCCTCCCTCTTACCCTTCTCACCTTACCTCCAAGCCACGCCCCCTTCTAAACCCATCCCCCCTCCCCTCCTCCCTCTTACCCCTCACGTTACCTCCAAGCCCTGCCCCCTTCTAAACCCATCCCCCTCCTCCCTCCTCACCTTACCTCCAAGCCACGCCCCCTTCTAAACCCATCCCCCCTCCCCCCCTCACCTTACCCCCAAGCCACGCCCCTTCTAAACCCATCCCCCCTCCCCTCCTCCCACCTTACCCCCAAGCCACGCCCCTTCTAAACCCATCCCCCTCCCCACGTTACCTCCAAGCCACGCCCCCTTCTAAACCCATCCCCCCTCCCCTCCCCCCTCCTCACGTTACCTCCAAGCCACGCCCCCTTCTAAACCCATCCCCCCTCCCCTCCTCACCTTACCCCCAAGCCACGCCCCTTCTAAACCCATCCCCCCTCCCCTCCTCACGTTCCCCCCAAGCCACGCCCCTTCTAACCCATCCCCCCTCCCCCCCTCCCTCCTCACGTTACCTCCAAGCCACGCCCCCTTCTAAACCCATCCCCCCTCCCTCTACCCTCCTCACGTTACCTCCAAGCCGCGCCCCCTTCTAAACCCATCCCCCCTCCCCTCCTCCCTCCTCACGTTACCTCCAAGCCACGCCCCCTTCTAAACCCATCCCCCCTCCCCTCCTCACCTTACCCCCAAGCCACGCCCCTTCTAAACCCATCCCCCCCCTCCTCCCTCTTACCCCTCACGTTACCTCCAAGCCCCGCCCCCTTCTAAACCCATCCCCCCTCCCCTCCTCCCTCTTACCCCTCACGTTACCTCCAAGCCCGCCCCCTTCTAAACCCATCCCCCTCCCCTCCTCCCTCTTACCCTTCTCACCTTACCTCCAAGCCACGCCCCCTTCTAAACCCATCCCCCTCCCCTCCTCCCTCTTACCCTTCTCACCTTACCTCCAAGCCACGCCCCCTTCTAAACCCATCCCCTCCCTCCCTCTTACCCCTCACGTTACCTCCAAGCCCCGCCCCCTTCTAAACCCATCCCCCCTCCCCTCCTCCCTCTTACCCCTCACGTTACCTCCAAGCCCTGCCCCCTTCTAAACCCATCCCCCCTCCCCTCCTCCCTCTTACCCCTCACGTTACCTCCAAGCCACGCCCCCTTCTAAACCCATCCCCCCTCCCCTCCTCCCTCTTACCCCTCACGTTACCTCCAAGCCACGCCCCCTTCTAAATCCATCCCCCCCCCCCCCCCCCCCCTCCTCCAAGCCACGCCCCCTTCTAATCTGTCAAACCAACCATACCCTCTTCCCCCTTACCCCGCACGTTACTCCAAGCCCCCGCCCCCTACTAACAACCCCCCCTACCCTCTCCATCTTACCCTACGGGGGGTTTGTACCTCAAGCCCCGCCCCCTTCCCGTCCGTCCCGCGCGGGACTGCTTCTTACACCTCACGTACTCAAGCCACGCCCTTCTAAACATCCCCCCCCCCTCCTCCTCTTACCCCCCACGTAACTCCAAGCCACGCCACTTTCTAAAACCATCCCCCCTACACTTCATCCCTCTTAACCTCATGACCGCCAAGACGCCCCTTTATAAAACCATCCCCCTCCCGCCTCACTATTACCTCACGTACTCCAAGCCACGCCCCTTCTAAAAAAACCCATCCCCCTAACCCTCCTCCGTCGTAACCCTCACGTACCCCAAGCCTACCCCTTCTAACACCATCCCCCCTCACTACTCCCGCTTACCTACGTTCCCCCAAGCCCCAGCCTCTAAAACATCCCCCTCCCCTCCGCCCTCTAAGAGATTATGTTCAGTTCAGTTTCTGCTGAGAATCCCCCTCCTCTTCCCCTCCGTACCTCCAAGCCACTCTCCCTTCCTCTCCCATCCCCCTCCCTCTCCCTCTTACCCCTCCAAGTAACTACAAGCCACGCACCTCTAAATCATCCCCTCCACTCCTCCCTCTTACCCTACGTTACCTCCACAGTCCCCGCCCCGTTCTCATCTGTGAAGGAAGAAGGGAGGAGAAAGAGGGAGGGAAAGAAGAAGGAGGAAGGAAGAGGGAAAGGAAGAAAGGAGAGAGAGGAAGGGAAAGAAAAAAAGGGGAGGAAGAGGAAAGAGAGAAGGAAGAAGGAAGGAAAGGAAAAAGTGAAAGAAGGAAGGAAAGAAGAGGAAGGAAGGGGGAAGAGAGAGAAGAGGGAGGAGGAAAGAGGAAAGAGAAGAAGAAAAGGAAAAGAGAAGGAGAAAAAGAAGGAAGGAAGGAAAGAGGGACGAAGGAAGGGGAAAGATGTAGAGAAAGAAGGGAGGGAAAGAAAGAAGAAAGAGAGAAGGAAAGAAAAGAGAGACAGCAGAAGAGAAAGAAAAAAGGGGAAGGAAGGAAAGTAAAGAGAAGGAGAAGGAGAGAAGGAAAAAGAGGGAAGGAGGAGGAAGGAAACAGGGAGTGAAGGAAGGAGGGAAAGAAGGGGAGATAGGGGGAAGGTTGGCCACAGCAACGCGTGGCGGGTACAGCTAGTAATATGTAGAAATGTATATCGATAAAAGTCGTGTAGATGAATGAAGTATTTAAGATGTTTTTGTTTACACAAAAGACATATTAAGTCTTTAATGTTACAAATTTGCAGCCTGGAGATTATGGAACAGATGGCTTTGCTTCAAGAGACTTCATATGAGCAACTCTACCGATGGGCACAAGGTATCTTTTAGTCTTTTTTGAAATTACTCTTTGTTTCTCAAAAAAACTGTATGGTCGCATTTACTTAAATGTGTAATTCTAGTCAATACTCTTGGGTTGAACATCTTGGTTAAATATATCTCTGAAGCCATTGTAGCTGTGAATTTTAACTTTTCAACCTCCAAGTCTTTTGGACTTCAACTCAAGGAATCCTCTCCTATTGTCATACTGAGCAGAGCTTCTGGAAGTTGGACTCCAAAACAATTGGAAGACAGGTGATTGGGGATTCCGGCATTATGATATATAGAAATGCTTTGCTTGATGCCAGGGGCAAAATCAGCTGTGTTGTCATTGTAGAATCCTACAGAGAGTCAGTGTAACTTATATAATAATGGTAATTTTCTGCCCTAAGCTTAGCTGATTTGAAAGAGTCAGTTATTGCTGTTTATATATTATGTTTTTATTTTTGTACTGGTTTTGTACTATGACTTATTTTCTGTAAGCTGCCCGAGTCCTGTTTGGAACAATTTTCCTGCTTCTTGGCAGGGGGTTCGACTGCATGGCCCACAAGGTCTCTTCCAACTCTATGATTCTAGGAGGCGGGATATAAATAAAGATTATTATTATCATTATTATTATTATCTATTTCCAAAATACGCACTTCAATAATGAGAAGAAGAAATAATTATTAATGGAATTTAATGCTTTACTGTTTTTAAATTCAATCTTCCAAAACACCAGAACATTGTTTTGTAACAATATACACTGTATAATTAATTCTAAACTATGCATTGTATTGGTCCATTCCCATTTAATTAAACAAAGTTCTGTCTTTGAGGACAACTTCTTTGAGCTCTTTTTCCCCAACACTGATTCAAACAGAGTTGTATAAAAGTAACTTCTGAAGCACTAACAAAAGATTCAGGATGGATCTACACTGCCATGTAATCCAGATTTTCAAAGCAGATAATCCACATTATCTGGTTTGAACTGGATTATATGAGTCTATGCTGCAATATAATCCAATCCAAAGCAGATAATCTGGATTTTATATAGCAGTGTAGAAGGGGCCTCAGACTTACCTCTGTGCAGAAATATCAGTAGTGGCATGGAGAGTCATACTAGTGACTCCTTGTGTTTTCTGCAACTGTGCTGTTACGCATGCATTTCCCTTACCAAACATCCAAGTGATAAAAGGCAGGCGTGTGTCTTTCAGTATATAGTGGACACCTGCTTGGATGACACTTTATGAAAACTAAAATAGTAAAATTGCAATGTTTTCCCTTAAATTTTAACACTAAGATAGAGACAGGAGGTTTTAAACGTTTAATGCTGATGGAGCGTTATGTTTGGCCTGAATCCAAATATTGACATGATATGAGAATGTTTCCTCTTGTTATTTTGTAGGTGAATGCAGGGCTTTAACCCAAGAATCCTGTGATATTTCTCCAGTTCTAGCACAAGCAATGGAAGCTTTACAAGACAGGCCTGTTCTGTATAAGTATGTTCCATGTTTTCATGACAGCATGTAATATAGTTCTGGAATTAATATGATAGAATCTGCCCTGACTAGTACCTAAACTAAAAAGTTATAGGTTCATTATGAGATGAAGTGTTTCAAGAGACCTATGACTTATGTCACTCCACATTTCCATTGCTTCTTGACAACCTATAATATTAGTAGGCTTTGCATACTTGCTTGCAGTTTACACTCATGGCATCATGCAGCTGTTCCCAGGTAGAAGGAAAAGAGACACAGGATGCTATCTCTTATAACATCAGGTTCTACCCATTTTATCTTTATTTTATTTTAGTTTAGTTTAATAAGTCGGTCTGCAAGTTGCTAGGCCTCTATTGAGAGCATTAGATGTGGGAAGCCCTGGCTCTTGAAAGCAGACTTCACAGCACCTCATGGCCAGTCCAAAGAACTGTATTACTGGTGTTCATACCCATTTTCTATCCTTGAAAGCCCTTTCTGCGCTCCATGACTTTGCCCCATCCCATCCACAACATGTCAGAAAGTTCCTTAAAAATTACGTCAAGTTTGGCAAAGGGGGAAGAAACAAAAGAGTAAAATATTAAAGGTATTTATCAAAGATCTTTATTCTAATAATTTGATAGGCAACATCAGCTTGTGAGCCATATGTGGGTCCCCCTAACTGCTCTTGTCTGTCATGACCAGTAGGGAAATATGGGTTTATTGTATTGTCGATCCTCTGAAGATGCCAACCACAGGTGCAGGTGAAATGTCAGGAGAAAATGCTATTCGACCATGGCCATACAGCCTGGAAGCCACACAACACCCCTATGGGTTTATTGCTTTTATGGTTGTCAGAAATGAGAGGCCCCACTCGAACAATTGGACTTAAGACCTATTCAGTATGAGAAACCTCCAAGGAGTGCTTGATATTGGCCACAAGGTGGCAGTAATGAAGTACCCTTGTATATATTGAACCTGCCATACTGAAATTTATTTATTTATTTATTTATTTATTTATTTTATTTACTGTCCTTGTATACCGCCGTTTCTCAGCCTAACTGGCAACTCAACGCGGTTTACAACAGAATATACAGTACGCAGTATACAATTAAAACCGTAAAAAACATAATACACAATATTTCACATAAATCACATGAAATACACTGAAAAATTGTACTTTTATTTGTGGTTTCATGACACACTATCCTTTGAGAGCAATATATGTGGAAGCAATTTTGAATCATTCTCAGATTCAGTTCTCTGTTTCTTTTTCAATCCTTCACACTAGAAAAAAAAAATGTGAGTGATAGGCCTCTGTTATATTGTTTCCAGACTAGTCCAAAAGTTAAATAACTACTCATTGCAATAGCATACATAATATGGATGGTAATATAGGAACAAGGCCATCTCAAAAGCAGTTACCAACTATTTTGCCAGAGGCAAATGTGTTTTTTTTTAAATTAGGATTCAGAAGCAACAAGCACTCAAGTGTTTTACAGTTCAAGAAAGAAACCAACTCTTACAGGAGACTTGATTCTTTTAGGAACATAAAAATGACTGGAGCAACTGTACACACCAGACTTATCTACTTGATATTAAAATAGACTAATGCATTTTTTCCCTATACCAACTTGCTTCCACATCTACTCTGGGAGCAATATTACAGGGACTAATCATGCTCTTCTGCCAAGTGGGAAAATGTGTTGCTGATGCAAAAAATAGCAAAAACTCAGTCCAGTATAGCCCTTGAGTAATTTAATACTTGCTCAATTTGAAAATTTTGTGCCATTTTAATTAATTATTTACTTACTTACTTACTTAATTTATATACTGCTTTTCTCATCCTGAGGGGACTCAAAGTGGTTTCCAACATAATCGTGGCGAAATTCAATGCCGAACATGCTTGCAAAAACCAAAACATAATTTGTAGACAATAACATATATTTTAAATTAAGAACTTTAAATTAAGAGGGTCTTTTGCCCAGGATGTTTTTTGTCCAGCAGGTTTCCATACCCATAAAATGATATTTCTTTCGATTGTAGATACACTCTTGATGAGTTTGCAACTGCCAGAAGAAGTGCTGTGGTCCGTGGTTTCATAGATGCTCTCACCAGAGGTGGTCCCGGGGGCACCCCCCGACCCATCGAAATGCATTCCCATGATCCTTTAAGGTACAACAGTTGTAAAAGTACTTTTTTGTTGCTAAGATAATCCATGTACTGGCCTTTCTTTCTTTCTTTCTTTCTTTCTTTCTTTCTTTCTTTCTTTCTTTCTTGTATTTTGCTGCTGATCTTATTTATAATGGTTATTTTTATTGAATTCTGTTGTTTTATTCTACTCATCTTCTTCACTGCCATACTAGTAGCTTAAATTAATTTTAAATGCATAAAACAATAAAATTAACATGTCATGGTTCTTGGTTTCAGATATGTAGGAGATATGTTGGCATGGCTGCATCAAGCTACAGCTTCTGAAAAAGAGCACCTGGAAGCCCTGTTAAAGTACATCACTACTGAAGGTATTACTCAGTTATAAGAAATGTGGATGTGATTTTGTTACGTAATGTGATGAGAAGCAATTACCAGTTGGTTTTCAATTTTTTTCTGTGTTGGTACTCCGGATATTGGAGTAGTGCTGATAGTGATATTGATCTTGTCGAACCCAAATGTGAAAGCTTAAGCATGTTAAATATGAGGGCGTTGATCCTATAAGACTGTAGACAAGGAGGAAGCGGATGTAAAGTAAGAGTCTATGATATTTTTATATGTATTATTTAGATAGTAGACTGTGACCCCTTAAAGGAAATATATTATCAGATAAAAGATTATGGAACATTAATAGATAGAAAGTATTGCACTGTATGCAACAAACAATGTATGTTTACTTGAATAAATAAATAAATCATAGTTCTCCTGCAATCCATGAAGTGGTTGAGTTGCTTCTATTGTGTTTGCTTTTGTGACCAGCGTTACTATGTATGCTCAGGTGCTTTGAACATATCCATTGTCTGTTTACTTGCAGGAGTAGAAGAAAACATGCAAGAAGTGGTTGGACATATCACAGAAGGAGTTTGCCGACCTCTCAAGGTAGAGCATAAACTATTACATGTAGAGAACTTGTGAATTATCATGATTATTGTTACCATTATCAACAATATGATAATATTATTAATAATGGTAAATGGCCATGATGCCTTCTGATGCTGTCATGATGTTGAACTCTTAAGCATAATTTAATGTCAGTTGAAAGGCAGGTCAGGGAATAGTTCAGTTCAGTTCAGGTTTTAATTCCTTATCGCCATAGGTCATCACAATGTAAAAACAAAGGGATTAAGCAAATAGCAAATAACAAAATTAAATTATAATGTGGAAATTCCAATATACTTTTAATATACTAAACATACCAAAAAGAATTAAAATATACAAAATAAAGCCAGTGAGCAGTGAGACTAGTGCCATTAAGGAAGTTGCAGCTCTTCTAGTGATACTAGAATCTTTATTAAAAAGCAAAATGTATGTGTTTTGGCAGCCAGACCAATTATTTCTAAATACTCACGAAGTATTTTTCTCTAATTTCCCTGTAACAAAGAACAAATAAACAAATAGTGAGGGAGGTTGTCAGTGTTGTCCAGGCCACAAGAACCATAATGTAAATGGCAAGCTAATTGTGGAGGACATTCTCTGGAACCTAGTTAAACTCCCCGAAACAAAACTTTTCAATTTAAAATAATCTTCTGAGCCTGGAAGGTGTGTAAATAAATTATACTATTAGGAAATTTAAATTGAGGTGGAATATGCAATGTTTTTCTTGCATGAACATGTAGCTTGATTTTTTTTTCTTTGATGGAAACTTGCCTTTCTGGGAAAAATAAATTTCCGAAAGCCAGATGAATAAGGAAGACATGTGATATTTTGACACTAATATATATTTTTATGAGGAGCTAAGAGCCAGTTGTTCCAGAAAATATATTTTTTTTCTTAGATGGTTTCTGGTATTTCTTCTAGACTTCATCAAAAATTAAAGATAGAGATAAATAGACTGATCTTCATGAGATAGGCTGTGAGCTCGTTTCCAGCTGCAAACTCCATAGCTGGTGTAATGTGACGCTCCCAAGATAGTTCTTAAAATTCTGTTCTGGTTGCCACCTAAGTCTGCAGGAACTTGAAAGCCCCAAATCTCAGATCCATAGAGGTGCAGTGTTGTTTTGAACTGAACTGTGTTACATATATTTTAAAATTCTTTTAGCAAGGGTGTGATTTTTTAAAATACGATTAATGGTTTAATTCAATTTCATTGCTCACTTATTTTATGTTTTAATTGCTTGTTTGTTTTTTTTAAATTGTGAGTTGCTTTGAGTCCCATTTTTTAGGGGGAGAAGGAGAACTAGATACGTCATCATCATCACCACCACCATCATCATAGATTTAGAACATTTTGCTCCACAGGTTACTGGTCATAGTGGAAGAGTCCTAGAATTTAAAATAGCCATATTTTCTTGTAATTGATTTGTAGATAGATGCTGAATTATATTGAACTTTTAAAAAATACCCTACAAATTAAACATGTGTTTCTTTGTGTCTCATTGTATTTTCTCAGGTTAGAATTGAACAGGTGATAGTGGCTGAACCAGGAGCAGTTCTTCTATACAAAATTTCTAATCTTCTTAAATTCTATCACCATACCATCAGGTAAGCAAAATGCAAAACTGAAAATAAAATACCCTTTTCCCCTTGGGATTTCAGTGCAAAGACTGTTAGTTTGAAGAGAAAAAATAATGATCATCTCCTAAAGTGCTATTTTTATTAAGAACAAACACCCATACTTTTTTTTAAAACTTTTCTTCCTGTTGTTGATAGTTGAATTTAAATACATCTAGGCATTATAGCACAAAGTTCATAAGGTATTTCCAGATTAGCATCTTATTTTGAAAAAAATTCTAGGTCCTCACTTGGGCCCTTACCCAATTTATGAATATGATGCTGATAGGGATCAAAACATGAGTGGAGAATGTGTGGCCCCTCTTATGTTCTTAGACCGCAGCTCCCACTATCTGTCACCAGTAGATGTGGTGGATTTGCAGTCCAACAACATCTGGAGAAAACGCATTTCCCCTCTCCATTTTTAGGACCTAACTTCAAAACTGTATATTCGATAACAGGAAAAAATATGGTGCACAATAGAAAGGATTTAAATCAGCTGTTTTAAAGTGCTGAATACAAGAAAATAAATATCTCAGGTATTTTCTGTCCCTTGTCTTCATTTTTTTCAGTAATATTGTGGGGAACAGTGCTGCTGTGCTCTTAACAACCATAGAAGAGATGCATCTGTTGAGTAAAAAGATATTCTTCAATAGTTTGGGCCTTCATGCAAGTAAACTGATGGATAAGGTATGTTTTACAAATGAGTGGTTTTCTCTTCTGCTGCCATAGAAAAGTCTTTATATTTGTGTGTCAACTGATATAGTAATATAATAATAAAACTTTATTTATACCCCGCCACCATCTCCCCAAGGGGACTCGGGGCGGCTTACATGAGGCCAAGGCCAGCAATACAACAATGCAAGTATACAACATAAAAATACAACAATAACATATAAGAAAATAAGATAAAATACAAGAAACAGTATAAATAAATACATCAGAACAATATGAAATCACAATATTTGAACAGAGAAAGTTCAAATATTGATCCTCTGTATTACAAGATGGCAGTCCAGATCTGTGGATTATAGCCTAAATACTATGCAATACAGACTCTAAAGACAGATTCCTTAGCCCATCAACAATCTTGAACCAGCGGATCCAAGTTTGCTGATCAATCAAGTGAGTAATTTATTACAATCATAGACCAGCATAATGCTGACTGTCTTACTTGTGTCGCTTTCTCTCACATGTTACCACTGCCGGAAGGCTGTTAGGAATTGTGGGAACTGAAATCCAAAACACCTGGAGGGCCAAATTTTGCCTGTGCCTGCTGCTATATACAACACATAAGTGAAGTTTTGAGAAACATGTTCATTCTATATATTATTAGATTCACACCCTCAATATGTCCAGAGCTTCTGAGCTTGTTTTATTACAGTATTCATTATTGTTTTTTTTGCAGATCGAATTGCCACCTGCAGACCTTGGCCCAAGCTCTGCGCTGAACCAAACACTTGCCCTGCTGCGTGAGGTTCTAGCATCTCATGACTCCTGCGTTATTCCTTTGGATACTCGTCAAGCTGACTTTGTACAGGTACATTCATGGCTACACTTTCGTGAATCTATCATTACCAAGCTACAACTCTCTGGCCGAAGGATCAGGTCTATTCATGCCAGAGAGCATTGTTTACTCTTTCTCGTACTACCCTGAGAACAAGCCCTATGAGGAGTGGCTTAAATAGCTGGGCATGTTTAGCCTGCAGAAGAGAAAGTTGAGAAGAGACATGATGAGGGCCATGTATAAATATGTGAGGGGAAGTCATAGGGAGGAGGGAGAAAGCTTGTTTTCTGCTGCCCTGGAAACTAGGATGCAATGGAACAATGGCTTCAAACTACAAGAAAGAAGATTCCACCTGAACATGAGGAAGAACCTCCTAACCGTGAAAGCTGTTCAGCAGTGGAACTCTCCCGGAGTGTGGTGGAGGCTTCTTCTTTGGAGGCTATTAAACGGAGGCTTGGATGGCCATCTGTCAGGGGTGCTTTGAATGCGATTTTCCTGCTTCTTGGCAGGGGGTTGGATGGCCCATAAGGTCTCTTCCATCTCTAGGATTCTATATTCTATTCCCCTGTTTTTCAGAAAAAACTAGTTTATTGTCGAAGGCTTTCATGGCCAGAATCACTGGGTTGTTGTAGGTTTTTTCGGGCTATATGGCCATGTTCTAGAGGCATTCTCTCCTGACGTTTCGCCTGCATCTATGGCAAATATTCTCAGAGGTAGTGAGGTCTGTTGGAACCAAGAAAATGGGTTTCTATATCTGTGGAATGACCAGGGTGGGACAAAGAACTCTTTATCAGCTGGAGCTAGGTGTGAATGTTTCAACAGGCCACCTTGATTAGCATTTGATGGCCTGGCAGTTGTTTGGTGTAGCTTGTTGGTGCCTGGGGCAATCTGTTGTTGAGAGGTGATTAGATGTCCCTGATTGTTTTCCCTCTGTTGTTTTGCTGTTGTAATTTTAGAGTTTTTTTAATACTGGTAGGCAGATTTTTTTTTTTCATTTTCATGGTTTCCTCCTTTCTGTTGAAATTGTCCACATGCTTATGGATTTCAATGGCTTCTCTGTGTAGCCTAACATGGTGATTGTCAGAGTGGTCGAGCATTTCTGTGTTCTCAAATAATATGCTGTGTCCAGGTTGGTTCATCAGGTGCTCTGCTATGGCTGACTTCTCTGGTTGAAGTCGTCTGCAGAGAAGACCACCCCTAAGTCTGAAATAACTTCCAAGTCACACAACAACAACAACAACAATAACAATCTGAATTAACTTGACTATCTGATCAGCCAAAAGCAGACCCACCATTCCCATTGAAATACTGATAAGTTTGCATAGGAATTTGTCCATGTTTTTCTCAAAATATAGTCCAACCAACAGTATTTTCAGTCAATTTCAAAGAATGGCCAAGCATTACTGCTGCTTAATTTGTCTCCTGAACTTTATGAACTATTTCTAAGCTTTTATTTACTTATATGGCGCCATTACTGTGCATAGCACTTTACAAGTAAAAGAATAACAAAAATGTTCCTTGCCCTCAGGCTTCAATCAAATGAAGATAAAACACATCCTCATTTGATACATTTCAGTTTCTGTAATTAGAAAGTCAGCATGATGTTAGACTAGAACATTGGGTGACCAGGATTCAAATCTCTTCTCTGTCATGGAAACTCATTGGGTAACTTTGGGCAAGTTTCACTTTCTCAGGTCTCAGAGGAGGGTATGGCAAACCTCTTCTGAACAAGTTCTGCCAAGAAAACTATGATAAGTTCGTTGTAGGGTCACCATAAGTAAAAAAATAACTCAAAGACACATAACAATAACTGTGATAATTAAAGTCTGTGATTCTGTGTTTAAAAGCACAGCCCTGAAAGTAAGGCTTTGCAGCCAACAGAATGTAAACATGTCCACGTCTTGGATATCCATATTTCTTGGACATTTAATCAACTACCAAACTCACAAATTTTGTATTTTGTCTGTTTGTTTGCTTTGTTCTGTTAGAAATGTTATATAATTGACTGGTTGCCCCGACACAACAAATAAATAAAATTTCTTGGGAGGTGTATATTGTATTTAATATGCATCCCAGGGCCCTTCCAAACAGCCATATAACCCAAAATATCATGGCAGATAATCCACAATATCTGTTTTGAACTAGATTTCAGTGTGCCTTCTCAGAATAAGGAAACTCCCAGCAATATGTCCCTAATTTCACTTTATTAGTGATCTAGAACTGTCTGTACGCCCCATTCTTTTCCGAAATTCTATCCTAGTTATATTTCACCTGGTCTTGTCCAGCATTATTTTTAAAATTTTAACTATTACATTTGGCCCAGCCATTGGTTTTTAAATGTTATTGTGTTATTGTCGATGTTTACTGCCTATTTTTTGTTATGAGTTTTATTTTATTACTTTTATTACTGCTGTTGTTGTTTTTTGCTGATGTCTTGTGGGCTCGGCCTCATGTAAGCCGCACCGAGTCCCTTGGGGAGATGGTAGTGGGGTATAAATAAAGTATTATTATTATTATTATTATTATTATTATTATTATTATTATCTGACTCCACACTGCCATATAATCCACTTCAATGTGGATTTTATACAGCTGTGTGGAAGAGGCCCCAGTTGATCAAACCTGTCCTTTTCTCTGAGTACCTTTGGACATGACTTCCAAGCACCATTAAGTGTCTTTGGCCTCCTTCCACACTGCCCTAGATCCCAGGATCCGATGCCAGATTATCTACTTTAAACTGGATAACATAAGTCTCTACTGCCAGATAATTTGGGATAAGATAATCTGGGATCAGATCCTGGGATATAGGGCAGCGTGGAAGGGGCCTTCTTTTCTGATGCAACATAGCCTTTTGCAGCATCCCTTTTCTAACCAAGCATCACTGACCTAATGCAGAGTAAATTCCTTAAATAATTGACAGTATTATATCCTTCTACACTGCCATATAAAATCCAGATTATCTGCTTTAAACTGGATTATATGGCAGTGTAGACTCATACAATCCAGTTCAAAGCAGAAATGTGGATTATCTGCTTTGATAATCTGGATTATATGGTAAAGGAGAAGGGGCCTTATTCTCTGCTAAGAGACTTAATACGATTTTCTCAATCTTATCTCCTCTTCTTTAGGAAATTGGTAGAATGAGAAATAGCCGAGACTTGTCATTGGGTACAATAATTCTTTTATGTGTGCTCTTTTATCTCTGCCTCCCCTCTTCCCTTCAGGTCCTCTCCTGTGTGCTGGATCCGCTGCTACAGATGTGCACTGTCTCTGCTAGTAACTTAGGATCTGCTGACATGGCAACCTTCATGGTGAATTCACTTCATATGATGAAGACAACACTAGCTCTGTTTGAATTCACAGATAAACGGCTTGAAATGTTACAGTATCAGGTAAATGTCCAAAGTCAACCTCCTGGTGTTTTCTTTGCCATTAAACATTAACAGGAAATAAAACATAAATGTGTGTATCCTCACAGCTTTATATATAAAGTCAACATGCAGGTGCATACAACCACAAAAAACTTCATTAATGGGGAGTTAAGATAAAAGAAACCCAAGGCAGTGAAGCAGGGAAATGTAAAGCTCAGCCATTCCTGCAGCATGAGCTATTTTTAAATGAACGGCCTCACAAAATGCTGTCGTGATCCACCATTTGCTTTTGTGGATCGAATCTCCATCTCTATTTTATGCCATTCCTCTCAGCAGTAGATGCATTGCACAGTTTTACACATTTTGAATCAGTCCTTTTTTTGGAACCAGACATCTAGTGGTTTTCATAACTATGAGCCCTTTCACACAGCCATATAACCCAGAATCTCAAGGCAGAATAACCCACAATATCTGCTTTGAATTGTGAATTGAATTGAATCCACTGCCATATATCCTAGTTCGAAGCAGATATTGTGGGATTTTATTCAACTTTGTGGAAGGGGCCTGAGTGGTGCAAATAGACCTCCAACTAATCAGTGGGATTTTTGGTGTAATAATTAATATATTATAGAAATAGAGCAGGTAGTCATAGACATTATTTATTATTATTCATCTGCGGTATTTATATACCACCCTTCTCAACCCCAAAGGGGACTCAGGGTGGGTTCGCAGTGTTGGCAACAATTCAATGCCATTTATTGTGTCTTGGTGTATTGTTTATTGCTTGTTGTTTAATATTGCTTTAATTGTTTTTAATTTGCTTTAGGTTTTGTATTGTTATGTTGTGTTTTGAGGCCTTGGCCTTTGTAAACCGCATCGAGTCCTTCGGGAGATGCTAGCAGGGTACAAATAAAGTTAATAATAATAATAATAATAATAATAATAATAATAATAATAATTGAACCTCCCCTGATAAAACATTAAACACAGCACATAAAATGACATCAAATATCACACAAAGATATAGCCATTGTCCGTAAACAGTCCCGGGTCATTGCCCTTTCAACTTTCACTTTAAATATTCCTATGATAGGAATTTGTAGATTGATGTATAGTAGGGATGTGATTGTAAGTGATTTGATAATGTAGGATTCTACTTGAAATATCCTGCACTGAGAGATATAGCTATGATGCTGTAGCTACAAGTTGAGCATTCCTTATCTGCAGTTCTGAAATCAAAATATTCCACAATAGTCCATCTGGGTGGCTGAGATGGTGACACCTTTGCTTTGTGATGCTTTGTGATGCTTTGCTTCAGTGCACACAAATTATGTTTCGTGCACCAAATCATTATTAAGATAAAGGTAAAGGTTCCCTCTGACATTAAGTCTAGTCGTGTCCAACTCTGGTGCTCATCTCCATTTCTAAGCTGGACACTTGGTGCTGTCCGTAGACATCTCCAAGGTCATGTGGCCAGCATGACTGCATGGAGCGCCGTTACCTTCCCACCAGAGTGGTACCCATTGATCTACTCACATTTGCATGTTTTTGAATTGCTAGGCTGCAGGAAGCTGGGCCTAACAGCAGGAGCTCATCCCACTCCCCAGATTTGAACCACCAGCCTTTCAGTCAGCAAGTTCAGCAGCTCAGTGGTCTAACCAGCTCCGCCACTGGGGGCTCTAAATCATTATTAATAATGTATAAAAATATCTTCAGGTTGTGTGCATATGGTGCATAGGAAACATACATGAACTTGGTTCCCATTTGCAATAATATCATTTATATATATATATATGTAATACAAATATCCCAAAATCTGAAAAAAATCTAAAATCCTGAACACTTCTGTCCCAAGCAATATGGATAAGGAACACTCAACCTGTACAATATCTCTCAGTTCTCCCCTCCCAAGTTCCTACCTTTGAAGCCTCACAGTCTCCTTGCCACAAGGTAGACATTTTCAAGATACTGGAGAAGAAGACAAGGAGTAAGGATGTGTCTAGTTCTTTACAAATGTTTTCAAAGTAAGCAGAGCTAGTGGTGAGGAATACTTGGAGATGCTGCTTAACAACATTGGGAGGGCTTCATTATTTCCTCCCTGGCATAAAGGGAGCCTTGAGCAAATACGTGTTCAGGAATCTTAAATACTATTAATGTCCTGCCCCCCAATCTATTACACTGTGTAACATGATTTTTGTTCCTGGGTTATAAATATTTCTTTCCTAGTTCGTTCTATCACAAAAACATGGGAAAAGTTTATTACACTGCCGATTTTTTTTTTTTGGGTGGGGCACCCTGCAACACTTTTTGATATAATTTTTCAGTTAATATCTCTTAGAGTCTCAACTAACTCAACATAATTTGTGGCAGCCACAAAAACAAAGTTTCTGGATTATAACAACTATTTTCCCTACGTGTCTGTGCTGTGAATTCACACTAATGGTACTCTCTCTGCGCATGCGCAGTCTCATCCGGAATCTTCAGTTGAAATTTAAAAGAAAAAGTGGTTGGCCCCGCGCACACTCCCCAAGATAGCATAAATAGCCCGCGGCAGGCCAACCGCCTCCAGATCTCTTCATCCGCGCTTACAGCAGCAAGTTCGGATCTTCCTATTGCTCAGATCTGCTTATTATTTCTTATTATTGTTATGATGTCCCTTACAAAGGGATTTAAGCGCTGCTCTGCCTGTCAGAGTAATTACCCAGACAATGATGCACATTCGCTGTGCATCGCTTGTTTAGGTGAAGGACATTTGTCTCAGGCCTGCTCCATATGCCAGTCCTTCACCCCTCAGACAAGGAAAAATAGGGAAATTCGTTTAAAGGCTGCCCTTTATGAAAGGGCCCTTCTCCCTGTAGTGACTAAGTCTACAGAGCCAAAAAAGAAGAACTTACCAGGTCTGGCATCCCAAGAAAAGCCGGCGAAGAAACTGAAAAAAACTAAAAATATTGAGGGCAAATCGGCCGCGGCGAGGCTCCCAAAGCAGGCGGCAGGAGCCATGGCCACAGCCCCTCAGCTGGCCCCTTTAGCTGAGAGAGGAGAAGAGACTCCTCCACGTGGCTTTGCCGATGCAGAGGAACCGGCAGGAACCTCCGCTCGCCTCATGCGAGCACAGGAGGATGTTGAAAGTGAAAGAGGGCCGAGATCGGCTACAGCACGCCCCGCGCGTGCGCAGGAGGGGACCGGCGTCACGCCGCCGATGCCGAAGCTCTCGGCGCCGGCTCCGCCCATTGCCCAAGGYACTGTCTTAGAGGAGGAGCCAGGGCAGGCGGCCTATGAAGGGCTCCTCCTATRGGCTGGCGCGAGTGCTAGGGATTCGAATCGGCACCGCGCGAGTTCCGCGCAACCTTCCACGTRGGGGATGCCAAGCMTTGGGGCCTCGAGTCGGCYCCGTGCTCGCGCTCCATCCCGTAGGAGTAAGGGCAAGAGAAGGCGTCGGGACCGATCCAGTTCAAGTGATTCCTCCTCCTCCTCTTCTTCATCGTCCAGCTCCTGCTCTGATTCATCCTGCTCTGCTAGGATGCGCAGGCAGGAGCGTGCCAAAAAAGTGAATAAAGCCTCCTCTTCAAGGCTTTCCCGTCGGAATGACAGAGAACTTCCTCTCCCTCACCCAGGATTTTATGAAATCACGCCTCAGGGGAGATTCATTTATTGTGGACCACCACCACCTATGCCTCCTACTCAAGAGAACTTACGTCCTCCTAGGTGTCATAATGAGGACTATAGACTTGGCAGACAATTAGTAGAACAAAATACAATCCCTGAGTGCATGAGAGATGAGCGCCAGGGATGTTATTATTCCCAAAGGGGCACACCGTTGCCATCTGTCTATGAAGATCACTATTCAAATGATATTATTGACTCAGATGCTTCTGGGGAGGTGGTGGAGGCCCCTAATATAGACACTGATAAGGAGCCTAATGGGGACCGTCTGGATGATTTTAATAAATTTGTGCAAATGATTGGGAGAATGATGACTGCATTAAGCATTCCTGCTCCCAAACCTGTTTCTACTGTAGAAGACCATATGTTTACTCCTGAGGAACAGGACACTTCCTCTCCCACACTACTCCCAACATTGCCATATTTGCTTAAATTAACAAAGGTCCCTGACATTTCCCCGTCAATTGCCCCAGCAATTCCTAAGCGGGTTGACCTTTTCTACAAAGTAGACCTTTCGTCAGCAAATTGGATTGCCCGCCCCACTGCTCCAAATACGGTAGTAGCGGAAGCAGCTAGGTCTAGGAGGCCTAAAAAATTTTCGGTGTCACCACCAGACAAGGAAGGCAAAAAGATTGATTCCCTCGGGAAGAAAGTGCATGTAGCTGCGGGGTTATTCGCCAGGATGGCTCATTACGCCACCTTTATGAGCGGATACCAGAGTTTTCTCTGGTCCAAAGTCCTACCTTATTTTCATCTCCTGCCTGCTGAAGACCGCCGTCTTCCTAAGGCTTATCAAGAGGAAGCCCTTATTCTTTCTAAGTTTCAAAAAACTTTTGCCAAACATATGGCCGAGACATCTGGGAAGCTCCTAGCCACGGCCACAGCCATACGTCGTCATGCGTGGTTGCGTGCTTCTTCATTATCAGAGGAGAGTAGGTTGTTGGCAGAGGACCTTCCAATGCATGAGGAAGGTCTTTTTGATCCAGCAACGGATGAGAGAATTAAGCATTCCCGTGAGGTTATGCAGGCGGCCAAATATCCATATCCATATTCTTACTCTTGGCAGCCTGGTGGCCAGCAGAAGCCTCGTTGGCAGCAATCGGCCCCCTTTTATCGTAAGTCCAATTATGGTGGATACAGTGCAACTCAGAATAATCGGAATGCTCCATCAAAGTTCCAGTACAACCGTAGGCAGAGCTTTGGTGCTAAGCCTAGGTACCAGCCATATAACCAGAATAAGGCTAAGACTGCGGGAAATCCCAGGCGTCGTCTTTGACGGCCCATCTCTTTCTGTCCCACAACAGTTAGGCTCTTTTCAGCCTGAGCCTTCAGACCTAGTTGAGTGTATTCTATTTAAGGATAGGCTTAGGCCGTTTGCGCGGTCTTGGGCCGCAATAACGACCGATAGTTGGGTCCTTCGAATCGTTGAGTTTGGTTATTCAATAGAATTTAAGTCTCGGCCCCCGTTGGGGCAGTTAAAAGTTACTCCCGAATCCCCAGCACTGCTGGAAGAGATTGAGAAGTTGCTGAATAAGGGCGCGATTTCGCGCGTTCACTCTTCAATGTTCAACAGGTGTTATTTTTCTCGTTATTTTTTAGTAACCAAGAAAGGTGGAGGTTTGCGTCCAATACTAGATTTAAGGGGAGTGAACAGGTATATTGATTCGAGAAAGTTTCGTATGATTTCTCTTCCTTTGATCCTTCCCTTTTTTAATAAAGATGATTGGTTCGCATCAATTGATTTAAAGGACGCATATTTTCACATTTCCATAGCTGAACACCACAGGAAATATCTGGCTTTCATGGTTGGAGAAAGGGCCTTTAATTTTAACGTCTTGCCATTCGGCCTTACTACGGCCCCTAGAGTCTTCACAAAATGCATGGCGGTGGTCGCTGCCCACCTCAGGACCAGGGGCATTACGGTTTATCCGTATATAGATGACTGGCTGTTAGTAGCGAATTCTTGTGACCGTCTGCGTGTGCATGTTGACACAGTTCTCTCTCTTCTTCAGTCTATAGGTCTTGTGGTGAACAGGGAAAAGTCCCATCTAGTACCTGTCCGCAGGATTCAGTTTATTGGAGCCGTCTTGGATTCAACTTACCAGAGGGCGTTTCTACCGGAGGAGCGTTTCGAGTTACTCAAGTCCCTGGTTGTGCAAGTCCTATGTTCAGGGGAAGTGTCAGCAAGAACAATTCAAGTACTACTGGGACATATGGCCTCTACAACAGCGATCACGCCATATGCCCGCTTACGTTTCAGACCCATCCAGAACTGGTTTCTGTCAGTGTTCCGTCCTGGCCTAGACGACCCCCATGTGCGGTTTCATGTGCCAGAGGAAGTGCGGACCTCCCTATTGTGGTGGACGGAACCAACCAATGTTACTGTAGGAATGCCTTTTCAGCCTCCAGAACCATCGAGAGTTGTCACGACGGATTCGTCTTTAAGAGGGTGGGGAGCGCATTTCAATGGCCTCACTGCCCGAGGTCTTTGGACACCAGAGGAGGCCAAGTTCCATATAAACGTACTGGAACTGCTCGCAGTGGAAAAGGCACTAAAATCTTTCGAGATGGAATTGTTGGGAGAGGTAGTGCAGGTGATAACGGACAACACTACGACAATGTTTTATATAAACAAGCAAGGGGGAACACGGTCCCGGACTCTGTCAAAACTAACAATGCGTATTTGGGACTGGTGCGTGTTGAGGAAAATCCACCTGACGGCCGTTCACCTCCCGGGGGAGGAGAATGTCTTGGCGGACACGCTAAGCAGGACACCCATTTCGAGCCACGAGTGGTCTCTCARTCAAGAGGAACTCAATATGATCTTCGGGATCTGGGGAGTCCCGAAAATAGACCTGTTCGCGTCGAGAGAGAACGCGAAATGTCCCCTCTTCTGTGCACGCAGAAGAGCCAATCCAGCGCAGGGATGTCTGGGGGATGCATTCCTTCTCAAGTGGTCAGGAGATTTCCTTTACGCGTTTCCTCCGTTTCCCCTATTAGTGAAGGTCCTTTCGAAGATAAGGAGGGACAGAGGGAACTGTATCCTAGTAACACCATGGTGGCCTCGTCAACCATGGTTCTCAGTTCTTCTAGGAATGTCCAACGGGAGATACAGACGGCTGTCGAGCAGGACAGACCTCCTGACCTTACAGGACGGAAGGGTTTGCTACCCGGACGTTCACATGCTGAGGCTCACTGCCTGGAGGATTGCCCCAGATCATTAAATCTTACCTTAGGTTTATCTAGTCCAGTTAGGGCTATTTTAGATGCGGCACAAAAACCGTCTACTAAACGTTCTTATGTTTATAAGTGGACTCGCTTCACAAAGTATACGTTAAGTAAGGGCTGCGACCCTGTTAGAGCTCCAGTTTCAGTAGTTTTAGACTTTTTGATTTCATTATCTGACTTAGGTTTGTCTATCTCATCGTTAAAGTGTTACCTCGCAGCCATCTCATGGTACAGAAGGAAAGAAGGACTGCCCTCCCTTTTTGGAGAATATTTAGTTAAACTTTTCCTCAAAGGCTACGGGAATGTCAAACCAGCAGTTGCCCCTGTTATTCCCTCATGGAATTTGGAGATCGTGCTATCATCTCTTCAAAGTGCGCCTTACGAGCCTATGGCCACGTGTGATATCTCTCATCTCTCTTGGAAAACTTCCTTTCTGGTGGCGATAACGTCGGCACGGCGTGTTAGCGAACTCTGCGCACTTAGATCAGATGAACCATATCTCCGGTTCCACAGGGATAAGGTAGTGCTCCGTACAGACATTGCCTTTCTTCCCAAGGTAACATCACATTTTCATATGTCACAGGAGATTATTTTGCCATCCTTCTTTCAGAACCCAGGCTCCCCCTTGGAGCGTAGTCTCCATTTGCTTGATGTCCGCAGGGCGTTGGCATTCTACCTTAGTAGAACTAAGGACATAAGAAAAACTCCTAAGTTATTTGTGAAGTATAAGAAAGACTCTTGCGGTTCTCCTGTGTCATCGCAGCGTCTATCTTCTTGGATAGTTTCTGCAATCAAGTTAGCTTACCAGAAATCTGGACGTGAGATTCCATCTGCCGTTAGGGGACATTCCACAAGAGCAGTGTCTACTACGGCAGCATTCTGGAAGGGTGTGCCCTTGGACGCCATTTGTCGAGCTGCCACGTGGTCGACGCCGTTGACTTTTGTTTCACATTATAAGCTTGATTTGATGGCGAAGAAGGATGCGGCGTTCGGTCGAGCAGTGCTTTTTTCTGCGGTGGCATGACTCCCGCCATCCAAGGTGGGTAGCTCGCTAGTCTTATACCATTAGTGTGAATTCACAGCACAGACACGTAGGGAAAATGAGAGGTTGCTTACCTGTAACCGTAGTTTCCCTAGTGTTGTGCTGTGAATTCACACGGCCCCGCCCATCCTCCCCGCAGTTTGTCATGCCTCCTCCTTCTGGCTGCTTTGGCGGCGGAAGAGATCTGGAGGCGGTTGGCCTGCCGCGGGCTATTTATGCTATCTTGGGGAGTGTGCGCGGGGCCAACCGCTTTTTCTTTTAAATTTCAACTGAAGATTCCGGATGAGACTGCGCATGCGCAGAGAGAGTACCATTAGTGTGAATTCACAGCACAACACTAGGGAAACTACGGTTACAGGTAAGCAACCTCTCATTTTCAAAGTAAGCACCGAACAATTAATCAGGAAATAACACTTTCAAACCAGGAACAGTTTTTTTTTCAAATTTTGTTACATTATGTTATTAGTTTTTCTGATACAGAAGGTAGCAACCTAAGCGTATCCCTTAAATCCATAAACTATTAAATGTTAGATAGATTCTTTATTGATAAGGGGGAAAAGCTAACATCATTAGGAATACAGAGGAAGCACTTTAAAAAAACTTAAAGTCTAAAGTCTTCTTTAAGAGTGAAAAAAATTGAATTTTGTACTATAGTTAACATGTTTTTGTTACACTACACTAGTTTTCATAGTCCTAATTTTCTTTCCATAATGAACCGTTACTTTGAATACAGTCTCAATAAATAAACATATCCTGTTTATTTCAGATCGAAGCACATCTTGATACCCTTATAAATGAGCAAGCCTCTTACGTTTTAACTAGAGTGGGACTCAGCTACATATATAATGTTGTACAGCAACACAAGCCAGAACAGGTAAGCTGTAATTTTGGAAATCCTGAATCGCACCAATTTCTGTGTTTCTCTGAGTAGATTGCTGTTATTATGTAATTATGCTGCAATCTGATAACATGCTATTAACATGCTAAATAAAGTTATAAGTATATGTCTGTATGTATTATTCAAACTGCTGGGGTTCTTTCAGTGTTGTAACAAATAATTTGAAATGATTAAATTTATTGGGATCTGTAGTGTTACTTTAGAACTTTTAACTTCTTGTTGATTGGATGGCATTGAATGTTTGCCAGTTTTATGTTTTTTGTTTGGAAGCCCTTTTGGGGAGAGAGTGGGTGGGTTAAAAATAAACTATTATTATTATTATTATTATTATTATTATTATTATTATTATTATTATTTTACTCTGAAAGGCAGAAACATGTCTTTGAAACTTTAGGATTCAAAGAAACTGCAGCCAAAGCACCCAGAGTATGCAGAGATACACACACACACACTTACAATATGTATGTATTTAATTAGTCTTGCTATATTTTTAGGGTCCCTTGGCAAATATTCCCAGTATGGATGCAATGTCCTTAAAAGCTGCAATGGTAAGATATTAACATTTCATCTTTGAACTATGTTAGATATTTTTAAAAACGCTGTTTGGGGGCAGTAGGGTAATGAAAATGGTGGTGCTGCAGATGGCACTACTGTTTATGTTGCTTTGTAGGGTAAAACAGGGCATGTCCTATTTCCAAAAGATTTATCTAAAATGTAAATGGGAGAATCAAGACCGAAAGGGAAGGGAAGGGAAGGGAGACGAGATAAAAGAAGAAGCTCTTGGTTTCTGCTGGGGCTTGATTCCAGGATCCCCTCTGGATACCAAAATCTGTGGATATTCAAGTCCCATGAAATACAATGGCATAGTAAAATGGTATTTCTTATATAGTAAAATGGTAAAATCAAGGTTTCTGTTTTGAATTGTTTGAAAAAATATTTTCAGCAGATAGATTTTGAATCCATGGATGCAGAATCCAGACATACTGAGGGCAAGTTGTATATATTTATTTCAATTGCATCTGATTATTTTATTTATTTATTTATGACATTTATATGCCGCCCTTCTCACCCCGAAGGGGACTCAGAGTGGCTTACAAGTAAAAAGTAAATACAATATATTATATTATTATCATAGCACAATATTAATATTATATATTACATTGTACTATAACATTATACTGTAATATTATTAGTAATATTACATTAAATATAAAATATATAATTATAGTTATAATATCATTTAAATTGCTTTAAGCAATTTAAAAACTACACAGTGGAAGTTTTCTGAAGCTCCACTCCTCTCTCCTTGCATCTTCCTCCAAGGCCTTAAAGCAGGTTTAAAACAACTGGAAAGAATGTCTCTGGAACTTAGATCTTCCCTCCTTTCTCCAAAGAACTCAATTCCAGGTTTTGTAAACAGCCTTAAGACCTCAAGAAAGGAGAGAAGAGCGGAGCTACAGAGACCTCCATTTTATAGTTTTTAAACTGCTTTAAAGCCTTCAGAGAAAGGTTGGATCATCCCTTAGATGTAGTTAGATTTGGAGCATAAGAATGAAAGGGGATTTCATATCAATCACTTTAGTGGCATTGTGGTGATTCTCTTCTTTTTGGCCTACTTCACAAAAGTAACAAACATTGAGATGTCCACAAAAGTATGAAAGAAGATCATCATGCTGGAACAGATTGGCAAAACAATTTTTTTTAAAAAAAATGGTAGCAATTTTATGGTACAGAAAATTACCTTGGGCAATAATACCTATACGTGGTGTTGTCTTAGGGCCCTTCTACACTGTCATTATACCCCAGGACATGATCCCAGATTATTGCTTATCCCAGGTTATATGTCAGTGGAGACTCATAAATTCCAGTTCAAGCAGATAACCTAGGATCAGATCCTGGGATAAAAGGACAGTGGAGAAGGGGCCTTAGAACATGTAAAAATTGATGCTAACCAAATTCCATTCTAATCAGCCAGCCCTTCTGGTGTGTAATTTGTAATTAGTACTGCTTTAATTGGAGCTAGAGAAATAAAGAACTGATCTTGCATACATAAAGGTTAGCAGTAAGGAGCAGGATTAGGTTTGCTGTACAAAATAATGTGAGCCATAGAATGATTCATGGGAAGGAGCCAAGACTGGTGAAGAGCTACCTGGCTTCAGAGCAAAGTGCAAACCACAGGCCTCCTGTGGGCTCCCCAAGACTATTCTTGAGTCTCCCCCCAAATTAGGGATCAATTGAAAAGGCTCTCAGACATGCTAGTCCCAAGATGAAGATCTTCCCAGAACTCCAAAGGGCTTTTAGTAAAACCAAAAAAAGGGAGAGTTCCAGTCCTCTCAGATCTTGCTGGGTTCCAGTCCTCTCAGATCTTGCAAGAGACTGATGTGGTCCTCCTACTCCCTGCCCTAGGGTGATTTCATATTGCATTTCTACATTGACCTCAAAAGATATACTGAGCAGTGCAATCACGGAAGAAGAAGCACTTTTCTCTACCTCCTCTCACTTTTTGTTGAAAGTGAGACTGGGGCCAGCAGACATACTGTGACCTTATCTCCTCACCCCATCTCCCAAAACTTTTAAAGCACATTGTGGAGAGAATATGCTTCTAGTTTAGTGGTGAGAACCTCGAAAGCTTGAGAGTCTTGTTAGCCTCTCCCTACCAAAAACAAAATCCACTCCCACCAGAAAAAAAGCCTCTGAGTCATTTATGCCAAAGAGATGCCTTTGTTTTTAACAATGAGCTAAAATTACTCCCCTTTCACTCCCAGATTTTTTTTTAAAAGGCCTCTCCTAGATCTATATTTCCTCAGGAACAGCCCCCCAAATATACCCCAGAGCAGTGGTTCCCAACCTTATTTTGCCCAGGGACCACTTTGATTTTTCTGTTGTTAGCAGGAGCTCACAAGGTTCAAGAGCAATAAACTGTGTTAATCTAAAAATAAACTGTAATCAAAACTTTTAATATATTTGTTAAACATCATATTAATATGAATTAAGAGTATTATTATAATATAGAAAAGAACATTTTAAATAGAAAATTAAATTTGGTTTGCATCAATGTGATTTTTGAACTTGCATCTTCTTTACAAGTTGGGTAATCCTGGGGCTAATGTTATTGCCAAGGAGGGGGCCAAGGAAGGAAGGAGGGAGAGAAGGAGGCAAGTAAGAAGTGCTGGAGGGAGAGGGGGAGGGAAGGAAGGAGGGGAAGGTGGGACGAAAATAAGGAGGAAGGGCAGGAAGAAAATAAGGGAGGATAAGAAGGAAAGAAAGTATATTATTATTATTATTATTATTATATTATTATTATTATTATTATTATTATTATTATTATTATTATTATTATTATTATTATTATTATTTGAAACACAACAAGATGAGTCCACAGCAGACAAGATCACTCTGTTGGCTGTTGTATTGGATCACACGTCGGACGCTTCCCAAGTGTCTAGGACTGTGTGATGTATCGGCAAACAATGCGTGCAGATCCCTGTAAGGTGGCCTTCTGCAGCTAGCAGGTGGTAATTTTGTCAGCGCTGATTGTGTTTAAGTGCAGGCCAAGGTCTTTAGGCACTGCACCCAGTGTGCCGATCACCCCTGGGACCACCTTGACTGGCTTGTGCCAGAGTCATAGAATCAAAGAATCATAGAATCAAAGAGTTGGAAGAGACCTCATGGGCCATCCAGTCCAACCCCCTGCCAAGAAGCAGGAATATTGCAGTTTGATCTTTAAATCCTCATATTGTGTCAGCTTTTCCTGTTGTTTCTCTGCAATCTATTATTATTATTATTATTATTAATAATAATAATAATAATAATAATAATAATAATAATAATTTGAAACACAACAAGATGAGTCCACAGCAGACACTCTGCTGGCTGTTGAATTGGATCACACGTCAGACACTTCCCAAGTGTCTAAGACTGTGTGATGTATTATTATTATTATTATTATTATTATTATTATTGAAGAAGGAAAGAAGGAGGGAAACAAGCTGCGCCTCTCCCAGGCTCCAACGGGCCAGCCTTTTCCATCTCCAGCATTTTGCAAAGGAGACACACTGTGAGTTCAGGCAGAAAGAGGCAGGCTCCAAAGGGCTCCTCCTCCTCCTTTTTTCTTCTTCTTTCTTCTCTGCTCTTCCTTCCTGCTCTTTCCCCTTCCTGCCTTTCCTGGCAAGGAGCTGCTGTTGGCGTCACTCTAAAAGTCTACCATGGTAAACCAGGATACTCTTTGCTTTGAAAACACAGGTTGCATTGACACTATGAAATTGAACTATCCCTGGCTCAGTGCAGTGCCATCCTGGGAGTTGTATTTTACAAGGTTTTGGCTTCACTGACCATATTTTAGTTCTTGCGGACCACTGTTGGTCCACAGCCGAAAGGTTGGGAACCACTGCCCTCAAGGGTGATTTAAAGGCAATTTTTAAAATCAGTGTTTTTGAATTTTGAATGCTGCCAGCAGAAACACATGTTGGCAAGAAAAACTATAAACTATATATACATTGGATCTCTGTCTCTCTTTGTCTCTGTTTCTCTCACAAACGCACTACCTAATGTTCTTCTGATATTTAATATAGGTCCAGTTTGATCGTTATTTATCAGCACCCGACAGCCTGCTAATGCCACAGATAAATTTTCTCCTGAGCACTGCTGTTAAGTAAGTATTCTCAGAAATTATTGGCCATCATTTTGTCTCTGTGGGTGGACATTTTGCAAAGTGTAGTCACTGGCCCAGATGTGAGAAATGTCTTAGGGTTTTGACCAAAGTCACCACACCCTTGTTGCTAACTTCTAAGAATGCATGCTGTGCCAGGGAATGGCATCGTCAGGGCAGCAAAAGGGTACTTAAGGAGTTTTAACTTTCAGTTAATAAGTCAGGGGCATTCACAGTTAGAGACCCATAAAGGACCTTGGCCTCTTCTACACTGCTATACAAAATTCATATTGTCTCCTTTGAACTGGATTATATGGCAGTGTAGAAGGGACCTTTTTCCATAGGGCTGCCTCTCACATTAGCCAGCCCACCAGCTAGATTTGGGAGTACAACACAATTCCTGGGACGAAAATTGATCCTTGCCCTGAAGGCTGAGCCCACTGCATGCCTTCCTTCTCATAGTTGATCTTGGAAGTCAGGTTGGAGTATGATTGATTTCCTGACACGAATTAACTGATCAGAACTTGCAGCTCTGTTTCCATCTTTTGCATTCAAGTCTTGAAATTTCAGAAGCAGAAGTAATCAATTGTTTGGCTATAAAGTGGAAGAAAGAATGTTAAATGTTTAGAGAAACTGACAAAAGAGAATCTGAAAATCCACTCTTAGAACTGACTTGTGTGTATGTTGATAGTTTTAGAGTTACAGAGATGTATATTTGAGTTTGTTAGGTTGTGTAAGTATGTCTATGTTTATGTTCTCATAAGTATTGTGATTTTTCTTTTTGTATGTTTTTAATTGTCAAACATTTTGATTTAAAAAAAAAACATTATGGGGGAACTCCAGTAGCAAAGAAGTGGCAATGCTTTGCTGTGGGGAATGACTGTGTGTGAGAGAAGAGGAAAGGGCTCAGGGGTCACATGGCACATTGTGTTGCCCTCCCAGCCCCTGCCTCACAATATTGCTTCTTTATCTTAACACATAGGCTGCTGGTTCTAGGTCTAGTATAATAAGGGAATGACATAGTTGCCCTGTTTGGCCATTGTAATAAATGGCAGGTGGGGTGGGAGCAACAGGACCTTTTTCTATCCTATTCCTATTATCTCCAGAGATAGGTCCTCTTTCTTAAATGGATATGTGGGTTTTGAGTTTTCAATGTAGACTTTTCATTTATTGCCATTTTTTTATTTGTTTTAGACAGCAGATAATAAAACTGTCCACAGAACTTGTCTGCAGAGCTTACAGTGAAGTATATGCAGCTGTGATGAATCCTGACAATAAATATAAAGATCCAGAAACACTATTGCACAGATCGCCTCATCAAGTTCAAGCACTTCTCTCCTAATCTTTTCATTAGAAACATTCCTTATGATACTCTCACTGTTTACAATCAGAATACAGTCATGATAGGTAGGCACCGACCATGTGGTTTTTATGCTAATGGCACTCATGCAGTTGGACTACAGATGGGTGCAAAGTTACTTGGCTGAAATCTTGTTGGTTTTAGAGGGATTAAACTGCTTGTTTATGTGCAGGATTGAGCATGTTATTTGACAGATGCAAGAGCAAGATTGGGATTTAAAATTGAATTTAACTTATTTATATATTTGAAAAAAACATTGTGATAACATTCAGGCTTGTTGGGAAGGGGGAAAAGCGCAGTAACTATTTGTGGTGTTGATGAAAAAAATAAACAGGGTAAACCCAAAACACTTCGTGCTTTTAGTGGCTTAACATGCTTGGCATTGTGCTGACATTCTTTTCCTTGCCAATTTGGGGGGGGGGGGGACCCTTCAGGGCGAGACTTTAGCCTAATATGGTTAAAATCCCAGTAGTTGGATGTATCCCATCTTGCCCATGGTTTCTTGTTGTTGTTATTGTGCAGCCTTTTAGTAGTTTCTGATCTATGGAGGGTGGTCATGTCATAGGGCTTTCTGATATCAAAGAGTGTGGTTTGCCCAAGGTCATTCTCAATGGGTTTCATGGTTGAGTGAGGATTCAAATCCTGTTCTCCAGAGTTTGAGTAGTCCAGCACTCAAACCATGATGTCACATCAGGTTTGTAACAGAAATGAAAATCTGAAGTCCTAGACTTGGAAAATCTAAATCGTTAACCAAATACGTTTGCAAGTATTGATCTTGCATAGAATAACTATTTCCTCTGGCCTTGTAGGATGGAGGCCCGAACGTGTCCACTATCTCAAGATTTTAAATTATATGGGAGAGCTAGATCACCTCAACAGGACTTCCCAATAGAGCTGTCCAATCTTTCCCAGTGTGGAGCAGGAGGAGGATGGAGACACAAAGAAGTTATTATTTTCTCTCCTAGAACCAATCCAAAACGATACACAAACTTGCTGATGAAAATGAGATTGAGGGGATAGATGTTGCTTGCATTTCCTTCTGTCCCCATTTATGGCATTGGAATTGCAGTGCATGAATGAAATCCAAATAGTTATTGTTTCAAGCTCTGTCCATCGTTTCCCTTCATACAATGGAAAGCGAAATGTCTGCAGTGAAATGTCAGTTAAAATGGCATTTAGCATATTTTTCTTTTCTTTTACTTTTCAAAAAATGAAAGTGCACTAAGCCTTATGGCTTCTGATGATCCAGAAGCATCAGGTTCTTCAGAGATCAACGGACTTTGTCCATAGGTTGTTCCAGACTGAATTGAGGCATTTTAAACTATTCTGTACTCTTCAATGGAACTTAGGATCTGCCCTGTGGTATCCGTGTTATTTTATGATTCCTAGTTCACCTCTTTATGGCAGCACCAAGGGAAATGTATCCTATAAGCCTGGGTTTAGGAAACCTCAATCTTTTCCACACATACAGGGACCCGCAGTGAGTCCCAATTTAATCAGTGGCATCTAAATTATGGCTGTCTTGTCTTGTTGACTTCAGTGATAGCCAATGTATTCTGAATCTATCACAGAGAAATATATCATAGATATTTTAATTCATGGGGATTTCCAAGTATTTGCACATGTGATGAATATATGTTTTCCACATCAGATCAGCGAGTAAATGAAACAATCTTGAGCCTGATAATGTTTCTTAAAAAAAAAAATTAAATTCTGCAGTGATGCAGTTACACTTGTAATCGCTAATGTAAGTAGCATTGAAAATATGGGTTGATATTAAAAGGTTCAGTTTGAAATTCACTGGACTGTGGTTCTAATAATTGCAAGTAATTTGTCTGTAAATAAATCCTATATTTTTATATAAAATATCTCAATTCAATAAAAGATGTCATCTAAATGTGACTTGGTGGATGTTATGAGACAAGATGATTAATAACTATGTTAAAGATTTCATGCAACAACAGGAAGAAAAACATGTTTCTGAACCTGAAGTATTATAGTGTTGATACTTAGTAGGTACTGTAGCTTGGCTGAAAATGAAGAGGAGCTGAAGAGCCTTCTAACCAAGGTGAAAGAAGAAAGTGCAAAAGCTGAGTTGCAGTTAAACATAAAAAAATCAAGATTATAGCAACCAGACTGATTGATAACTGGCAATGGAGGAAGTGACAGACTTTGCGTTTCTAGGCACAAAGATTACTGTATACGCATACTGCAGCCATGAAATCAGAAGATGTTTACTTCTTGGGAGGAGAGCAATGTGCAATCTCGATGAAATAGTGAAGAGTAGAAACATCACACAAACAATGAAGATCTGCATAATTAAAACAATAGTATTCCCCATAGTAATGAGAGCTTGACCATAACAAAGGCTGAGCGAAGGAAGATAGACGTTTTTGAACTGTGGTGCTGGATGGAGGAAAATTCTGAGAGTGTCTTGGACCCCAAGAAGATCAAACCAGACCATACTTCAGGAAATAATGCCCAACTGTTCATTGGAGGGAAGGATATTAGAGGCAAAGATATATACCTTGGTCACATAATGAGAAGACAGGAAAGCTTAGAGAAGATAATGATGCTGGGGAAAATGGAAGGAAAAAAGGAAGAGGGGCAGACCAAGGGCAAGCTGGATGGTTTGAAGAGACTGGCTTGATCTTGAAGGAGCTGGGGGTGGCAACAGCCGACAGGGAGTTCTGGTGTGGGCTGGTCCATGAGGTCACGAAGAGTCGGAAATGACTCGACGAATAAACAACAAACCTTGTAAGAATTATTAAAATGGTACCCAAATGTACCATTCATATATACATATGGTTATATGCTGGCTGTCGAAGTCAACAGACTTTTGGTCATGGTTTCCCCATTTTCATTTTTATTTTAGTTTTGTAAAATGATATCTGGTGGGGATCTGAACCCAGAAGGGCTTGGGTTCAGGTCCCCACCAGGATATGCCCCTCTTGGGTTTCGTCATGACCAGTTGCTTAGTAATTTTTCAGTAAAAAGAAAACTGTAAAAACTGAAGCTTAGGAAAATAGAGGAATACAAAATTAGAAAAGGACACCATGCTAGATTGTCAATGGCTTTGCTTAGCAAGCAAACTAAAGGTATTGGCACCCCTTTCCCCTCAAAATCACTAGTGCCATACGGACAAAGCCTTCTTTGGCAATCTCCTTTCCATTTGTGGTAGTGTCAGACAGTGAAAGAATGCTTGGCTCATGACATTCCTGCTTCTATTCAACAGGAAAAAGTTGTGAACGTGCTATTTATAGAGCCTGAACAAATAGGCGCTGGACTTTAACAGCCAAAGAAAACAACATAAGTTGTGATTTTTCAAGCCCAATCTTTGCTAATTTAGAGTGGGTTGGATCATGACCTGACCTGCCCTCCGCAAAAGGCCTTTGATCCAGCAGGGGTTCCTGCTGATACAACACAAACGGAGGAGATTTGGGATGATTTTTTTCTTGCCCCTGCAGTTTCCTGCACTACTTTCCACATTATTTCATATATTTCCACAACCCGTTGGGGTTAGTGGGGGAAGAGAACCTGTGGAATCACCTTCAATGCCAGGAGGACTTTCACTGTTCGAACCTAGTGTAGAAGGACCATGTCTATTTTTGAAAGATTTTGTTAGGGGGTATTGAAAACTGATTCCATGCACTAGTTTTCCAAAATAAAAATGTCTTGAAGTTGGAATAAGCTCATGCACTTTGTCACCTTGATTCATATAATGGGATGATCTTTTATCTTATTATGACAATATTCCTATTTCACTCTTCAAGGTGAGACCTCTCCTGGCAGTTCACAAAGTAAAATATAAGTTTAAAATAACAAAGTATATTAAACGCCACAGCAATAAACACATTGAAAAAATGAGTATGGTTATTAAAAGCCATCTGGAATAAGCAGGTCTTTAAGGCTTATTGAAAAAGAGCAAGGGAGGCCTGCACACAATCCACAAAGATGAGGTCAACACATACAAGGCTCTGTATTATCCACACCAAACTCCTAGATCGTACTAATACACATATAAGTGAAGCCTCAGCAGTCAGTCATAATGTCTAGGGGGTTGGTTTGTTTATTTAAGGCAGTGGTTCCCAACTTTTTTTTTTAACCAAGGACCGCATTGACCATGGACCACTCTCCAACATTAGTACCAATGGGGTGATGAATCAGTTTTTGGTCAACTTTAGATTCAGTTTGGTTATTTGGGGTGCAATAGTCTAGTCTGGACAGATCTAGGGTGGGGAGGGCTGCAGGAAGGTCCTTTCTTTTTTTTTTACAGATAAAGTCAAAGTTACTGAATCAGCTGAAGGTGATAAAAGGCATTTCTGATAACCAGGATTACCTGTCTCTATATACAAGACTTGAGACCAAAAGAAGCTCAAACTGAGCATTTAGACAAAGTGGATTTCTGTCTGATACTGATCCCACACTTCCATGGTTTTCCTAACCACATTATTTCTATCTTACCTATGTTAAGTTCTCAGCCATCCCAAGCTACCACAAAATATCTGTTCAGAGTTTCAACAGCTTCCTTTGACAGATGGTCCCTAACCATGACCTGAATTCAAGTTCCTATTTTTTGATTACTACACTTTTAAGTTCTGAAATGATCCTGTTATAATTGTTCTATTCCTACGCTACTATACGTTCTATCCGCCTTTCTGACCTGCCTCTCCTCTAACTTGTTTCCACAGTGGTCCCCTCTCCCCCAAAAATGAGATTAGAGGTATCTCTGTTGTTGCTTATGATGTTTGTTTATTATTGTTTATGATGATGCTGTTCTTATGTTGTTTTAATATTTTATTGTTCTGTTTTTAATTGTATGTCGTCTTGGGCTTGGCCCCATGTAATCCGCCCCAAGTCTCTTCGGGGGGGGGGATGGAGGCGGGGTAGAAAAATAAAGTTCTTCCTCTTCCCCTTCCCCCTCCCCCTCCCCCTCCCCCTCCTCCTCCTCCTCTTCTTCTTCCTTGGGACTAGCTGTTAAAAGAGAGTGGTTGGACAATACATCAACTTCCAGCAAGTGGATGGTTACCTCTGCCATTTGGGTTCCTCAAGGGGCCAAGGGCAAGGGGTGTGACATGTGCTGTGCCCCCCAGCTAATGCTACTCCGAGACGTTTCTGCATTATTTTACCTGGCAGGTTTCGTCCTCTCTCAGCAGAAAGCATTTCCCAGCTTTTCCTGAGATGGACAAATGAAAAACAAAGTGAAAGGGCCCTCTGACCAAACTACTAAACCCAGGACTCCATAGTATGTTCATTTGGCAGCTAATATAGAATCATAGCAATGCAATTGTGTAGTGTAAAAAATCCCTGGTACACATTTGAGTTTTAACATATTAACTGAAATTAGTTCCAGTGTCCCTTTGCTTGATACTTGTAGTAGAGCCCTCGGTGGTACAACAGGACTGCTGACTAAAAGGTCAGTGGTTCGAATCCAGGGAGCGGGATGACCTCCCGTCTGTCAGCTCCAGCTTCTCATGCGGGGACATGAGAGAACCCTCCCACAGGATGGTAAAACACCCAGGTGTCCCCTGGGCAATGTCCTTGCAGATGGCCAATTCTCTCACACCAGAAGCGACTTGCAATTTCTCAAGTCGCTCCTGGCACGAAAAAAATACTTGTAGTATCATGTTGTAGGTTTTTTCAGGCTATATGGCCATGTTCTAGAGAGGCGTTCTCTCCTGACGTTTTGCCTGCATCTATGGCAAGCATCCTCAGAGGTAGTGAGGTACTTGTAGTATCATCTTTGGTCACTAGATGGAGGATTTCCCTAACCACTACATAGGTTTATAGCTAATACACATTGATGCTGATATGGAGTAACCAGAAGGACAGGTGTATGAAAGCATACTGTTGTGGAGTAGCACCTCTTTTTGCCAGGGAATGGGTGGGCTCATTTGGAGGGAATGTGGGGTTGAACTACGGTAGTGTTCAATGTAGACTTCATAATAGTATTTGAAGATTTTGTGTATCAAACTATGTTTTATTTTTTCATCTCTGAAGCTATGGATTTTCTTTGTAATTAATGAAGGAGCAAATGCAACAAGAAAAATAAAACTCTATTGCTTTTCTTCAGAATACAGTTTTTTTTCTACAGTTGGATGTTTTTTTTTCCCTCTGCCAAGTGCATTGCAACTGTGGGAACAGCTAGCTTTTGTCCTGTGTAGGCTCTTGCAAAGCCAGTGTTTTTCTGAACTTTGAATACCAGGAGTGGGCATCTAAGCTTCTAAAGAGGCACTGACGTTATTGGAAACAGACTTGGCTCAACCAGTGCAAAGCTTATCAGCACTGAAGGGGCCCTCTAAAAGTACATTTGTAAATGACTGGCATGTATGGAAGTGAGCAATTTCCTGTAAATCAATGTACTTTGCTTTAGACTTTGTCTTCACAACATGTCTGCCCTTGAAAACAAATGGCATAATAATTATTTTTGACCTCGGGATGCAAAAAAATGATATGTCCCTTTCCTCTCTTCCATCTTGTACTTACAGGAAATTGGTATTCATAATAAACTTCACTTCGATTACATAAATAGTATAAATGAAATACCTGAAAAAAGTAATCACAGGACAAAAAGAATTATTTGGATGTTTTATTAGAGAACATTCCTTAATTAATAGCGAAAGGACAAATGCTTTTAAGGTAAGTCAGAAATTAAGGGTTGCATGCCGGCTTTTTGTCCTCCTGTTCCATTCCTGCTCTTGTAGTTCCAATAATCACTTATTCTGTCCATTAGGGAAAGGGAAATCAGCATAGCGCTATAACGAACAAACATCCATCAGCAAAATGAAGTGCAAGAGCCTATTAACTTTCATGACCACGTTCCTGATAGCAGAATAGGATTCTTTTCCCCTGATGATCTCTTCTCAAATAGTGACAGTCCGTACATTCAGGAAGCCACCAGT